TGATTTAATTAAAGATGAAAATGATTGAAAATAAGGCAACATTTGACGAAGATGCTTTAGAAGCACTGTGAGAATAGCACTATTGGACAATGCTATACTTTGCAATAACTGTGAAACAGATATATTTATTAACATGTATTATATATATATATACATATATATATATATATATATATATGTTTATATGCATGATATAAATAAAGGATTTATCTATACGTACTTTAATCAGATCTGATAAGTACAATTTCAAAACTTTTTGTATTTTTTCAAATTTTTTAGATTTATATGGTTTCTGCGATTCTGCATCCAGTTTCAAAATACGTTTAAATGCATCAGGCAAATGCATTATACATAATTGGACCACACCATTAAATGCTAAACATAATATTTGTGATAAAATTAATATACAATCATTTGAAAAATAATTAGTGATTTAAGATAAAATAAAACAAAACTAACTTGCACTTCCTTCTATTTTATATTGCGTGGTCGTATCTGACGATACTGCGACAATATTCAAAGCTGTATGAAAGGCCTCTATGACACATTTAATAGTATCAATTGATCTAAAAGGGATAATGCACAGTTATTACTTTGTTATTAATTCAATAAATATATAAAATAAACGAAAAAAAACTTACTTATCAGTTTGTATTTCTTGTTGCCAAGTTTTCAATAATTGCATAGTAATTTTTTTAGAGTTACTTTCGGTTTCTTCTAGTGAAAGATCACTATCGTAGCTAGCAATCTGGATATTTAATATTATTAAAAAGTATAAAAAATAGTTAAAATTATATTTAATAAAAACATACTTCTAAATTTTCTTCAGAAATGTATGCATCATCCAAGTCTACTAAAGAATTATCATCATCATCATCATCATCTGATGTTTCAAAGTCCAAAAGATTTTTATCATTTTCTTTCATATATTTGTAAAAATCAGGATCAGTATCTTGCAATTTTATTAATGATTTTTTATGTTCTGGATTCAAATTGCTCTCACTATGATCGCTATCCCTATTAATATCACTATCAAGCTGTTCATCTTGATCTATAAGTAAAAGAATATCATAAAGTTGAAGTTGTACTCAAAATATCAAACAAATTTTAATATTTTGAATCATACCTATGTTTTTACTTGTTTCATCACTATCATGTATATCACTATCTCCATTATTTTCAAAATCTTGTTCAAAGAACTCTTTCGTAGTTAATTTGCTTAAATTTCTTTTCTTTTTTGTATTAACTGCCATTGTCTTTTTTCCTGATAACTTAAGAGATCCATGCTTCATTTTTTTCATTTTCATTTTTAAGATAAGTAAACTTCTTTGATTAACTCAACTAACCTAAGAAAACTTATCATAGATAAATATAAATTGTAAATACAAAATATAATTAGTATATGACCAACACACGTGAGCAAGAGACGAGATAAACACGTGCATAACCTTCCCATTTCTCACTTTTTTATTTTCAAACAAGTAACAATTATATATAATAAAAGTTTTGTTTTTCTTACCTGTATTCTTTACTTTACTGAATTATTCACACATAAAAACATTAAATATATGTTTATAAATTTATTTTGCAATTCAATTTTTCGACGCTTCATCAATAGTGTCGTCTGTTGATAACGTGATACGTAGTTCGCGTCATTCTATAAAATTGCTATTGGTGTCGCTAATGTACGGCAGTGAATTTTTGAACTCGGTCAAGATAAGTATACAAACCTTCTAAAATTTTTAGAATGAATTGTCACTCTGAAAAGTGAAATCTCATTCAAGATTGAAAATGGGACCACTTTTATTCAAGACTGGCTTAATTTTTTATAGAATGAAATTCCACTCCAAAGAATTTAGAGAATATGCATACATATTCCCGCGCATGCGCGGGAGTGTTCGGGTTCCGCAATCGGTGCAAATAGCGCAATTGGGTGCAAAACGGCACAGCAGCCGCGACATTGTTATCATTGGTTACTGTCACTGTGCGTGTATCACAAACGTCAAAGTGTGTGTGGAGTGTGGAGTTGTGGACCTTACTGATTCATGATTGCGCTGATCGGATCGCATTTATCTCCTCGCGTTGTTTCGCATTCCGCTAGTGTTTCTAACCTCAAATCATGGGCGATTCCGAACAAGATCCGGGTGATCGAATCGATGGCGACAATCAAAAGAACGATAAGATGTTTACTCTGAAGAAATGGAACGCCGTGGCTATGTGGAGCTGGGACGTCGAGTGTGACACTTGTGCCATATGCAGAGTCCAGGTTATGGGTAAGTTACGTCTTGGTTATGTTTTTATCAACTCTGCACCGTTTCACTTTCGGTTTCATCTTCTATTTTATCTACTTCATTTTATCTACTCCGTTATAGAAAAGATTGCGTTAATCATGTAATCACGCTGACATTCATGCAGTTAAGAATTAATTTGTATTTTTTACTCCAAAACACAACAGCAAAAAGTGTTATTTCCAGAGTTTCTATCAATGTAGACTTAATCTTAGCTTAACAACTTTTTGTTCTTCATCTTTTTCTAATTCTAAAAATTTGAAAAAAGTTAAATCGAAGTTAAAATTAATATATATTGTTAAAAAGGCACGTTATCATATTATAATGCAAAATTTTTGTTGGCATTTTATGTCAAATAATATATATAAAATAATATGTAAACAGGATATCAATCATGAAACTTTTTTCTTAGGATGAAAAATGAAAAATGAAAAATTTCTCCATTAACTTCAATGATTAAAATTTTCACTTTTCACTTTCCATCTTAGGGATAAAATTTCATGATTGATACCCAGAATATTACACATCACCTAAAAATCAACCAGAATCTGTTATTTCCTAATGAAACATTATAGATGATCAATGTATAATTAACTTTCATCTCGATTTAAATTATTTTTTATTTTTTCTTAGACTTAAAAAAGATAAAATTAACAAAGAGAAAAAAGTTAAACCGAGAGATTGTAATAAATCTACATTAATAGAAACTAAAGTATAAGAAATTTATGTATAAGTGACACAATTTGCTATTATATTTTCTTAGTAAAAAAAAATTAATTTTTACTGCACAATACGATTATGATTTATATTATTAAACTCAATAGAATTTATGACAAACACTTAAAAAAATATATTTTTGATCTAAGCTGTTTTGTCTTACCTATTTATTTGTGATACAAAATGTCTCCGAGTGCGTTCTTTTTCACACAAGGCGCATGCTGTATCATTTTATCCTTTTTTAATATTTAATAAACAAGGATAAAATGATATGCATTATGCATGAAACCGAATGCACCTTTCGTAAATAACTTAAGTTGTATCATTTTTTATGAGTTCAAATGTGTGTATGACATCAATACGAGGTACAAAGAGTCTTCATGTCATTATTTATTAGATAATGATTGTGAAATGTTTACTTCTGGTTGAGTCATACGAGATTATATATATTTATTTAAAAAACTGCTTTTTATTCAGATTTAATTTTTTAAGAACTTTTATATTTTGATTTATGAATTTTGTTTTTACTATATATCATGTAGCATTTTTATATATAAATTTTATTCTTGTTTAATTGGTAATTGCTTTTGTAATTACGCGTTTTTATCTAAGAAAAATTGAATATAATTGCTAATATAATATTATTATATAAAAATATCAAAAAGCATGGATAAAAAATTAAAGCAACAGTTTTACATAAATGTATCATTTTATATATCTGTAGATAATCTTAAAATTATACCACATAATAACTTACAAGTTATTCGTAAACTTAACATGAGTATTAAATTATCAAAAATATTCCGCCATCTTCATTGTGCTTTGGCAAATAGCTTATGAATAAGCGGCACGTATTACTTACAGTAGCAACAAATATAAACAGTAAATATAAGAAACAGAAATGCCGTGATTGGTCATTGTACTACGAAGGAGAGTAATAACGTACTCAACTCTTATATAAAACAAGATATTGTGCACTTATTGCTTTACGTGATATCAAAATGAGTTGTACATTGAACTTCGCACAATCGCAAAGGAATGGTCTTTTGTTCGAATGTTTATATTTTTACAATTTTAAAATGAGACTTTGCCGTGGATTTTGTTCATGCGGTACTTACTTTTACGCGAATGTTAAAACGAGATTTCGCGTGCTGCAAATGACGTCTATTGTGATACTAAGACGTTCCAACGTTCACTACCAGTGCTGCAAAATCTGTAGTGCACTATACGTAATACTAGAAAAGGAAGATTTAACTAAAGTTTCTAAAAATATATGTACATAAAGATTTGAAAATAATTTTGTTGAACTATTAAAATAATTACATAGATATCTCAAGCATTATGAGCACTTTTGCAAAAAGTTTTGTTATTCTAGTAACCAATTTGAGCATTTTACATAATTATTTTAATTGTCCAACAAAATTATTTTTAGGTCTGATTAAATTTTTAGATACTTTGGCAAAAACCGTTCTTTCCGTATAGATTTTCAGTATTGGCTATGAATATCAGAACGCAGCCTAGAAATGCGAGAGAGAAAAGAAACTACGAGAAACGTTCTGCATGACGTTTTATCGTTTTTACACTTCTATCAAACAAGATTCTCTACTAATGGAATCTTTCTACTCGGACGCACGCAACTACAAGCACATTCTGATAAACTTATAAAATCGTATACTTTTTAACGTTTTCCAACGTATTTCGTCAGTTGTCGATTATGATATGCATTTAGTTTGCATCATGCCAAACATACTGCGAATGTACCCGGTCACATGCAGTAATTCGGATAGATAATAAAACTTACAATATTTACATTAGCTATAAGTTGTTAAATATTTCACTTCATACAGGCAATGCGAACACTTAAAAGACATCGCAAAGTACAATGCTGATGTTTTTTGAACATTTTAATTTTTGTAGATATCCTCTAAAAATAATTTTCTTAATCAATTTTGATTTATTTAATTCTTAAATATATCTTCCTCTATGAAAAATATATAAAATAGATTTTTTTTAATGTGTACATAATTCTCTTTTTTACAATCTCAGGCGATAAATTGTTGATAACAAATATATATAAATATGTATCAATAATTTATGTAAAATATATAAATAATGTATTCCTCTATATAATATAACATCTCTCACAACAATTTGCCAGCGAATCTCTATTAAATTACTTGACCGAGAACACTCGTCAGGTAGTCGACGCAGCTTTATCCTAACTTTCGAACATAGGCGACTATATTACATTTGTCTGAGATTTTTTCCTTCAGCGTTACATTATTCTTACATAACTTTCTAAGAACTTCATCTCCACTTTACAACTACGTTTGCACTTTTCGTAAACCTTCGCTTTAAAAATATATATTTGCTATGTATTATAACACTTAAATTATCATATACATTTAAAATCACATCCCACATTGATACAGCCATCCGATATCATCCAAGCATCATTAGTTTAATACGAAGATTACGAGGCTAATACGGGCTGCTAGAATCATATCGTTCCACTTACGATCAATTTCTTCAATGCTGATTAACTACAGTCAAAGCTTAATATTTTCATTCTCTCTATCTCTTTCTAAATTTCGTCCAAAAATAAGAAAGAGGCAATAGAAAAATAATTGTCCAATTACGATTGAAATTAACAACGACAATTTTTCTTGGACGTAAATAATATCACTATGGCGTAAATCTCTTCGACTATTTACAATTCGTAATTACTGTGATGAGAACGCGATTGATTTTAAACGTTATTGTCGCATGGGAAATTCGCCTCTGTTCGAAAGACCGGTTTCTTGGTCGGCATATAATGTGTGTATGTATATATATATATATATATATATATATATATATAATATATATATATATATAGTATATGTATACATACATATAAAAGTTCACACATGTTACGCGTGCTTTTAATTCAAATTCAAGGTGCACGTGACGATAAATCGTATCACACAGAACCTATGCGATACCACAGCCCCACGCAATTACGCTATAAAAAAAGAAACGCGCGCTCGCGCGCGACTAGCGTTGACCTACGCGTACATCTCTAACGACAGTATTATCTGCTATATTCTAATAGAGCAGTATCAACTTGAGGTAGGCCCTGTAGGACTGTCGGGAATAATAAAAATAATTGCAACTACACACCTAGTCAACAGCTGATAGTCACATATTTTGCCATTTCCCCGATGGGAAAGCGTAACACATTTATATTCCACGAAGCTACTTAATTGGCCTCGCAATTTGGGTTCTCGACAAGATTGGCACTAACTTGTTAGCGATCTCTCTCTGATCCTCGTATTGGATAGGAATACGGTTAAAGCGAAATCTGCCGAAGTCATGTTTTACGAGGCTAATTGAAGAAGCGAATGAACGAAGACAATGTGTTTTTATATCTTATATCGTAAGATTCTGTTTAAAAGTACAGTCGAGGAATTATCTTAATCAACTTTTCAAAAATATAGATCTTTTACGAAATCGCTATTGCACTTAAATTTTTCAATTGATAAAATTTTTCATCCAATTGTGTGCCTCTTCAACTTGTTTAAAGAGATATGAATCTTATGAGAAGCACTTTCGTCCGCATATTTCTACATACTATTCAGATCTACGACCGATTTCTATCTTTTATCGGTTATTTCCGAATCGCTCTCGCTCTAACTTTGTTATAACGAATATATCTCGCGAAAGGGAACCGAAGATCTTGGAAATAAGAGTAAAGTAGGAAAAGCCAAGAAGGAAGAACAGACGCTTCTCTTTACATAGAGAGAAGAGAGAAGTATAACCTTCGAACCTGAACTTTCCTTCGAACTTCCCTTTAAGGGAAAGCATATCTGTAAGGGAATCTTTCCCTTAGAAGGACACCGTAAGGAATCCTATTTTTTACTCAAACGAGTTTCTTTATCGCGAGTCGCGATCGGAAATTCAGCAGCTAACACGACATCGGCGTCGGTTTCATATTGGCGACTGCGCTCATCCTTCTAGTTGGACCTGTGAACCTCTTCTCGATCTCCTCGAGCGACCTGCCGCGGGTCTCCGGCACACTGACGATCACGAAGACGAAGCCTATCACGACGATTATGCCGAACATCCAGAAGATGCCGTGCGCACCGATCACTCCTATGACATCCTCGAAGGTCTTTGTTACGATGAAGGTGCACATCCAGTTGAAGGCGGTCGCGATGCTCGCGGCGGAGCCGCGGATCTTGGCGGGCAGAATCTCACCCATCATCAGCCAAGGAATAGGCCCGAAGCCCAATGAGAAGCCTATCACGTACACGATCAAACTGACCAATGGCAACCAGCCGAAGGCCGTCACGTCCACATTCATTGACCTCACGTAGAAAAATCCGCCAAGGGAGAAGAGGGTCAGGGCCATCAACACAGCGCTTATGTACAGCAGCATCTTCCTGCCCAGCTTATCGATTACAGACGCGGCGACAAAGGTGGATATGAAATTTACTATCCCAATTATTATGGTCGAAAGGTTCTCATCGATTGTGCTACCAGCGTCCTGAAAAAAAATATTTATTGATTATTATGTGTCGGATTGTATTTCTCAAAATTTGAAGATTTATTTGGCATTTATTTCGTGCATTAATTCATCATTTTATTTTCATGGTTTGGTTAGAGAATTATGTATTTAAAAATTATTGAAATATTGGATTCGCGAGTTAGTAGAGAAAGATAACTGATTAATATAATACGTACTTGGAAGATCTGCACCGTATAGAATATCACCGCATTGATGCCAGACATTTGTTGGAACAACATTAGACCCAAAGAAATGAGAAGAGGTTTGAAGTGTTTACTTTTCATCAATTCCGAGATTAAATTTTGGGAAGTATTTCGCTCGCTGTCGAGGTATTCCTGATGTAATTTCTCGATCATAGTCAATTCGTCGGTTATGTCTGTGTCTTTACCGCGCAACCATTGAAGAGATTTTCGGGATCTCTTTGTTTTCCCCTTGGAAATGTACCATCTTGGCGTTTCCGGAATTATAAACATCAAAATCAAGAATGGTAGTGGTAAACTCGCCCCTAACAGCGCCAGATTTCTCCAATCCAAATACATACCCGCTACGAAGCATAGTAATATTCCTGCACATTGAATATGAAACCTTTATGAATTTGTGGAACATACTTTACAAATATATATATATATTTTTTTTTTATATTTAAATAACATTCACAAGTTTAAATATCTAAACGTCATATTAGCAACGAACACGTACACATATAAATGAATAACAAGATTTAAATCTTCCATTTAACTTACCGGAGTTACCAAAAACGGTGGGCATTAAACCAAGAGTACCACGCACTTCTGCCTGTATCGTTTCGCCTAAGTACACAGGTAACGCTAAGGAAGCAACGCCCACGGCAAAACCACATATCGCACGCCCAGTCAATATCATCGGAATATTTTGAGCCATCGCGATTAAGAGCCATGCTATAAAAAGTATCATATTATCATATAACACGACCTACTTATTTATTTACGGGCAACAATATTCGGAATATAAAAGAGAAACGATGTAACTAATTTAAATGATAGTAGATAGGGACTTATATAACGTTATTTACTACGATAGTTCGTTCATTATACGTATATATGTCTCTACATTATATCTCATTACATAAACGTTTTATACTGTGTATACCTCCGATAAATGGAAACGCTGTAGCAAGTATTGTCTTTTTCCTTCCTATATATTCGATGAGCGGTCCTCCAGCGATGCCACCGACAAGTGCACTCAATGGCATAAGTGACCCAATCCACATGCTCTGTAATATACAAAATTTGGAATGATAATTTATAAAATTCTACAATTAAGTTTATAGATTTTTCTGCGACATCATTTATTGCAAGTTTCTAATTGTTAATTAATTAATCAACTATCAAATACAATATGTCTAAAGTTAGTCAAAGTTTTGAAATTAATTGCACAATATTCTTCATACAAGTGATATTAAAAATTTAATAAACTTTTGCCCGAATGTATTATATAATGTTTTAAACTTTTAATATATAATTAAAATTTTTTTTTTGAACAGACATTTCGTATAATGATTAAAATTTACTATTGCTATGTACAGAAGCGATTCGGGATTGGAAAAGATTTAGCTCGATTATGTATCATGCTGTGCATATCGACAATCCTTGATTAAATTCATTGTTCGAATAACAACCGTGTATTTTAATAGTTTTATTCATCGTAGATCCTTCGAATACAAATAAGATCGGGAAGCCGCAAAATGTCAAGGAAAACAATTGCGAAGGGCAACCATTTTGGTTGCTCATCCGTTGTCGTGTATTTTAATTAAGTTACCGTAACGCAGAAACGAGTTACAAAATCTTTATTACAAATGAGATCACTAAACGTAGAATAATTGTTATAATGATTGCTATTACAAAATTATTGGTAGTGATTTTATTGTGATAGACTTTAATAAAATATTATTTTTTAATTAATTATTAGAATATAACTAAATCCAATTATTAGAATATTTTAAATATTTATATTATTTAATTTATAAAAACAAAATATATATATATTTAGAAATATATTCTTTTGAAAGTACTACAAAAATAAATTCGCACAATCAGTAGTTATGCTTTCCTATTTTTACCAATAGATACAAAAGTATATTTTACATTAAAGATTAAAAATAAATTTATTTAAATCTTCGTAGATTATCTAGTATATCATCGCATAGAGATTATGCATTAATTAAAAATTTTCCACTCAGGATAATCTTAATATAAACGAATAATTTTTATGACAGGAAAAAGCAATAATTTTCAAATACAATATGTATACAGCTCTTTAAACAATTAATTATATTTTGGCATGTTAAAAAAATAGTCATTGTAATAACATTTTGTTGCCTTTCGTTCTCAAATTTATTAAAGTGGGCTTCCCGAAACGAATATCCTAAATCTGCTTGCGAGACCCACTTTTGAATGCGGAAGCATCTTATTCACGCTCGCTTACATATCTGGAATCAATTTCCGATATCGATATCGATGATGATTCGATCACGATGTTGAGGCCTTATGACGAAGTCGGCGTGTCTGGCGAGATAACCAATCGCGTTCTCGGCCACTGGGGCACAACGGCTCCTTCGCCAATACGATTGCAATCAGGTCATCGTGCCCCTGACCAGACACCAATGACGCACTTGAGGTTAAATCTTTTAATTATTCATTGACCCTTTGAATAACGAAGGTCGTACCTTTTCATACGCATGCGTAGAACGCGATAATTTATAAGTGACGCGTTTACATCGTTTATCATCGGCGCTTAACTTTGGCTTCTACTTTGTATTGATCTGCAACGCGTCGCCGATAAACAATCCCGTCGGATTTTTCCTTGACATCATAAATTTAAAATGTCTTTATACGGGCACAGAAACATACTATTGCAATAATTTCTGTTTGCGATGCAGAAATAAAGAAAAATGATGTCATAAATATCGGTTTGGCATTCTCTGACAACTTCACATAAAAGATATAAAATTAATCTTTGAAAATAATATTTATAGATATTAAAACATAGCTACTGATTATTAGACTATAGATTATTAAACTATAGATCAAATGAAAATATCAAGCGATTCTGAAAAGACACTTTTTGATTTCGCAAAAAATACAATGAGTCACGAATAGTTGCCCGAGTTGTTCTTACGCTACCGCTAACCAGTTAACGTATATAATTGGCAATTTAGATGTTCAAGAAACCGTGTCCAATTCCTACAATCTTCCACTTCCGATAAAATCAGATTTCATGGTCGTGTATTCGCAGATTGCGACTTTATTTTGAATACTTTTATAAATACGTTCATCGGAGATCGCTTCTCTACGTAAACTTGGCTTTTACTTTCTGTAAATATACGGATGTAAAGCACATGCCTAATAAAGTGCGCGATTTGTCTTTCTGTACAATAAATTTTTAACGCGTAGGAGTTAAGGATAAAGCAGATTATATTAAAAAATGTCAGCAGTTATTGGACTCACCATCTGTTTGGTGACTTCAAAGCTCGCTGTAGTGTTATCACGCATCGACACCAGCGCTGGCGATGTATAGGAAGACGAATAGCCGACTTGCATGGAACCCAACGACACCGATAATGCAGCTAATATCTGCAAACAGATTACAAATCGCATGAAAAATGTATGAAGGTCTGAACGTGAACTTAGACTCTTTTATAGCACCTACTTATAAAATAAAAATCTCTTTAAATCTTAATCGAAAATCAATGAGTCAATTCTAAGCAGAATCATGAGGCTCGTAACTTGTTCTTGTAAGACTTATAGAACTTATGACCTGAGTTGTAATTCTATTCATTATAAGATGTACGGTTATTCGTAAATTCGTATCTACGATTTCTCACAAATCTTACGATTAGTAAGAAGCTATTTGTAAAGCTACTGCTAAATTTATAAGCATTTCAGTCATAAGTTCTTACAAGTCTTACGAGAATAAAGTTATGATTCTACATAGAATTGACCCATAAATGTATCGGAATAAATTCAATCGGTAAGATGGATTAGAAGTGTCAGTAGATACCGGAGTAAATACTAATTTCAAATCTGTCGCGCAGAAAAGAAATGTAGAAATTGTGAGAATATTATATATTTTTATCTCTCATTGTCGAGTATATTTCCTTTACACACAATTATTGTATATGTAGAATCTATTTTAAAATAGCAAAGAGTCGAGATCGATGCAATAATTTAATTCGTATTCGATCAATTGTACGATTTGCGTCATAGAAATCATGCCGAAAAAGATTGCGACATTCACGTAGAAAATTTTCTGTTTTCACAATCCTCGTATATTTAAATATGACTATAACATACAAAAAAATCTTAAGTATGATCAATAAAAATCATAGTACAACCAGCGAAGAAGATAATTTTCAATTGAAAAATTGTGTTTATGTTTTCAAGATTATTATAATTTAATTTTAAAAGAACCCTAAAACTAAAAAATCTTAATAATTAGCATCATTAAATGGAGTGCAAAATTACATAAATTCTGATATTATACATAACATTTATCAAGGATTATATCAAGATTATGTTTCTTCAAAATTATACATTTTTTATTTTGCCTTTATATGGGAAATAGCTATATCTATTCAGTTATTTATAGCAATAAAAAAATCTAAAGAACATAACAAAGACAAATTTTAATTAATTTTTTACCTGGGTAATTGTGCATTTTGCTGTAGGCGTGTTTACCGGCAATTCGATGTTTACATAAGTGTCCGCTCGCAGAAGAAGTTTCATGATTCCAGATAAATCGAGGAACCTATTGTGACACTATTTTCTAATTCCAATTGCAAACACGATTTTCCGATTAATGAAACTTTGGTATCAATCTAACGAATCATTTGTTCGATTCAAACAAACAGCATTGTTCTCCAACTATACGTGAAGATCATTACAATTTCGCGATAGGAACCAGAATCGTAAAATATCGAAAATTTCCGGATTGTTCCGAATATTATCCGAAATCAATAGGATAAACTGACAATAAACGAATTTATTTTGATTAAAGACTCTCTAATTCTAATAAAAAATCTGTCCGAATTATGGAGAATATCATTACTGCTTGTTTCGTCGAGTAACAATGGTAGATCGATTCTGAAAGTCCGTAACTCGAAAACTCGCGTTCTTATATCAGGGTTGTAATCTAGATGTCTCGGCAAACGTGATTGTGGAAGAAACCGAGTTTAAACCCTTCGAGAGTCCCAAACCGTGTTCGAGACGAGAGATGAGAACTCACTCCTATATCATCGATCGGATACCAATTGATTTGGCTGAATTGATAATAAAAAAAAATGGATATTGATCGCACACTGATGCGAGTAGAAGTTTTCGATGTCACAGTATAATACGAACTATTGACACTTGTGGACCGCGACGGTGATTTTATATAGAGAGCAATGCTGGGGGCCGGCCATCCCTTCCCCTCGCAAATCACGTCGTTGAAAAAACTTCGTAGATCACTACTCCCATATCAGATGATCGCAGATACCATCCATTTGATAAGACGCCTTCATTTCGTGCTTTCGAGACGATACGTGATTCAAATTTCGAACAAGGAGATGAAGAGGAGTATATGTATGTTTTAGCATAGATTTTTCTGGAGTAATTTTGAAATATGATGAAACTCTCATTCAAATAAAAATCATAGACCATAACGTCTCTAAAGCAACTTTTTTGATGCTGTCTTGTTTTTGAAAACATATTTCATTCATGTAAGAAAACAACTAATCGAACTTGAGTCCAAATGCATTCTCGAAATTCGAAATTCGAATGTTTTTATGGGAACACCTAAGTCGTTATAATTATTAATTATATTAAATATCTATTAGGTGCGCAACTAAGTTCTCGCTGTTATTTTGATGCATTTTCATCAAAATAACAGCGAGAACTTAGTTGCGCACCTAATAGATATTTAATATAATTAAGCAAGTTATATAAATGTGATTTTTTTCTAGAATTTCATGAATTATGGACATGTAAAAAAATGATATGCCATTTTTCTGATACGTTTATAACCATACTGTTTTTCGATATTTAAGCTCAAATTTAATTGGTTTTACTGTATTCACGAAAATGTTACATCTATCTTATTACATCATGATTATATTTTCTGTATTCGCATTCTCCTTGAAAAATTTTCCACCGTTTTTAAATATTAATAAAATAGGAGCGACAATGCAAATCGTTTCTATTCAATCACAAATGTCGGTGGATTGCAAAAATATTATTTATTTAATTATTTAACCATTTGAAATATTTAAAAGTATCATAGAATAACTACAAAAACTATTATTAGAGACAAGTATGAAAATTCATAAATACATATTCGTATTTACACCTCACTTTTACCATAAATATGCACATTTATTGTATTTCTAATTTTATAATATATGTAATGTAAACTATGTATGCTAAGTGCATTTATCGATAAGATAAATATAAATCATCGAATCCCTTTATGCACTTAACATAATATATAATCTTTGTTTATATATACTATATTCTTTTAGTATATCGTGTTTGCTGTATCAATAAAGACTAGACATACAGACATACATAGTATATAATCTCTGTTTATATATACTGTATTCTTTTGATATATTGTGTTTGCTGTATCAATAATGACTAGACTGACGATAATAAAGAGTTTGTTAATACAGCATACATTGTGTATACTATATCAATAAAGACTTAAGTATTTTATTATTCATTCAGCTCGCTACTTAATGCAATAACAAAAACATTATTCTAAATATGTCTATCAATTCGACAATTAATATAAAAAATGAGTTATTTATTGTTTTTCTATTTCCGTTATGTCGACTAAAATAGAGAGAAAACAACAGCTAAAAACTGATGATATACAATATGTTTATTATAGGATATTATTATGTAGGATGTTCCTCGTTAAACACATATGATTTTTATATTTCGAATTTTTTAACTATTTTTTTCTTCATTCTAATGATATGTTGTAATAATCGTTCCGTTTAATACCTAAATTTTAATGACCTGATACAAATTTAAAACTGAAATTTAAAACATTTAATGAATTTCTCAATTTTCCAATTTTACAAGTAAATGTCGATCCATAATCATTTTTGCTTTTGTCTACACAGGAAATTATTTTTCTTTTAATTCATTATATTTCATTTCATATGTAAATTTAAATGTACCATTTTGCGCGCGCGATTATTAATTATTATAATTGATGCTGATATACTATTTTGATATAATATTTGCATTCATCATAGTCTATTAAATTTTAGCAAGACAACTTGATGAATACAGTAAATAATTACAGCTACAGTTACTTTTAATATATGCATAGCGGGAATACGATTGTTTATGTAATGAAGATTAATTATTGATTTCTTGCTCGATAAATGTTCATCGCTTTATGGCGTAAAACATTGTTTTATTATATAGTATTAATATATATTAATAGTATTTTTTCGTATTTTTTCATATGTTGCCTTTTTGTTTGACTGTATGAATATTAAATTAGTTATACGAATATGTAAATATAAATACGTGAATAACATTCTAATACATGCGAAGATACAATATAAAAACATAATGGCCATAATTTTAAGGATATGATTTAAGGACATGAAATGTTTCGAGACTTGAATATTTCATGAGGAATTCTAATTTTCGCACAGAATTGTTGATAATATTGTATGAATGTCATAGCAATGAATGATTATTGCACCACGTATTTTTGCATTTTTTTTCTACGTAGATAACTTTCATCTGTTTTTAATTACGAACAGTTCACGTAAATAAATTTATTTTCCGCGTAATACAAAATAATATAACAATTGAGAAATTTTGACGGCGCTCATGCTACCATCAGCCATGAATGTCAATGGCAACCTCAAAGAAAGTATAGTATTCAACGTTATATAAGGTTGCGATATTCGTTACAGGGTTGCGTCTGCTTTTCATTCATCCTTTCTTGTTCTTATACAATTATGCCGATCATTTCGATTGCGTAATAGATTTCGGCGCGCAATAAATTATACTCATATAATAAATTGTACTCATATAATAGAACAAAATATTTAATGTGTAAACGTTCCAATTCATATATGAATACTTCATTATTTTCACTACAGCAAAAATTATTCCAACTCCATATAAATATTTTTGAAAAAATGCTTTGAGTTTTCAGTATTAAATTTTTAATATATGAATATAAAAATTCAGTATAAACGCGAATAGATATATACAATTTTATTAATTAATAAAATAAAAGACTTTTGCATAATATACGTATAACAAGTAATGTGTTTTGCTAATTTATTCCGATATTAATTATTAAATAATAATTTATTAACTATTTTATGACTTATTGTAAAACACAAAGGAAAAACATGTATGTAATGTATTGCGAAGTAACTTTTATATAAAGATTTTTATATAAATAAGTAATTTTCAAGTAATATAAAAGTAATATAAAAATGTGATTTTTTTTAGTTTTTAAAATTATAGTTTTTATACGAAGAATATTACGTAATAGAAATTACGTAATATTCTTCGTAATATTCTAAACATGTTGTAACATTGTAAATTTCATGAAGTAAATAAAGGATGATGCATCGTCGTCGGATCGTACATATGGTCATACTACTGTATGTCATGCGATCCTTAAGGATGTATTTGAATCATTTTTACAAATGTATTAATATTTATACTTTAAACAAACTATGTACGTACACTAAAAAAAAATTTCTAAATCTAAGTAATTTTTTTTTAATAGTTTCAAATAAACATTTCTTTATTATAAGTATATATTTATTTTTATTACATGTGTAAATGAAGATAATTTGGATAAAACGAAATGAGATCACTTTAAAACAGTTTTAAAAATAGGTCAAAGCTATTCTTCTTTTTTTGGCAATCAGTAAATAGCACGTAAAAGGCACGTGAAAGTGAAAAGCTAGGCACGTGAAAGTGTACAGCTATGCACGTATTAAGTAAACTTGACGTAAAGACTTGACGTTCTTTTACCATTTTTTATGACTATTTACTGACTGTCAGGGAGGCTAAGGATAGCTTCCACCCATTTTGACAGGTGTTTTAAAGCGATGTCATAATTTCGTTTTATTTAAATTGTCTTTATTTACAAACGGCATATAACAAAAATTAACGTATCATTTCTCGCTCATAACATCACGATTCAGTATGGCCACGGCGATTACTCAGAAGTCTTAAATCTAGCAGTTTATTCTCAAAGAAGTGATTTCTAATAGTAAAAAAGGAAGGAAGATCTTTAATCAGACATTTAAACATGAACATTTCATGATAATTGAATGTATTGTAATATTCTAACTGCAATTTAACCGCATTGGATGATTTATGAAATAGTAATGAAATACACTTGCTCTATATATATATATATATATATATATATATATATATAGACAATATTATATGAACATATTATGAGTGAGGAACACGTGTGAGTTTCTTCATAAATTATTATTTGCACGTATTGCTTATGAGATTATTTTTCGTTTTCAACGTGTGATTTCGTAAAGGAGGGAGCACAGAATTTTGCGTTATATATAACGCATAATATATAAGAAAATTAACCAATCAGAATTTCTTCATTTCCTTTCTTTTCATGAAATAAAGAACTTATTGATTTTCTTATGCTTTCTATGTTATGCTTTCTATGTTATATAAAGGTTTATGTTGCGGCCTTAATTTTTTATTTTCGTTAATTGAAGTTACCTATATAATTGATAACATCCTGCCTTGCTGATTGAAATACACATTTCAAAACAGAACTCACAGAGTAAGCGGTGTTATATTATTGATCGGATTAACTGCAGTTATTTTTAATTTTATTTTTATTAATTTGTCTATAAAAGAAAAGTTGTGCATATTTTTTTATTTTAATCGATTTGGAATTGCTCAAAGATTCTAAGTATTGAAAAGAATTCCATGTAAATCTATGAAACATATATAACTTACCTGGGCGGCAAATCGTAACCATGATTGTTCGGGTTCCCTTTTAAACTCCAAGGATGGCAATGGTTCTTGCGAATCTTTCGGTACTTTCACGTCCGGGGGATCCATGAGAATGTTGATGCTTGAACTTTGTTCGCTCGGTAGTAGTGGATCTAGTTGCTTGTAATCGACGTCTTGATTTTTATTGAGTGGATCATAGATTCGCGACTTGTTTAAAGCCTTTTGATGATTGTTCCTCAAGTTCTCGGCATAGTAGTGATTGGATCCCTTGCCAGCGTCGCCAGAGAAATATCTTTTCTCGGTGATAAGGGCGGTCTGGCTGTTGAAGGGACTGGTGTTGGTCACGAGGGTGATGTTCGATGAACAGTCTAGGGTGGACCCAGAACTGGACGGCGAAGGTCTGATGACCGGGGAAACCCTCGGATATTTGGGTAAAACGCTGCGCTCCTGAAATATAGAATTATGATTTATTTTAACGATTTATCAGTTGAAGTGCATTTTTTGATCTGCATTTTTGAAATTGTGATGAGAGATAGATGGACGTTATCAAAATGATCATTTGATCAAACAGAAGAGAATATTGTTAGAACTTTTCTAACAAAAAAACATAGACAGAACTTTTCTAAGAAGAAATATATAATAAACGACAATAGGATCTTATACAGGACACGAAATTTGCTATTTTTGTTTAATATGGGAAAATAAAATTATAATAAAATTGTTACTGATTGCGATTAGATAAATAACGCAAGATTTCTCTACTTATTTCAATTTCAGTAAAATATATTTCGAACTTATTTTACAAAAATGAATGAAAATGTACGAGTTGAAACTGGAGATAACCGCTAGAGAGGAGTTAAACTGGATGTTACCAGACTGTTCCTCTTTGTGATAAAGTTTCACATATAATAAACAATTCATATTATAAAAAATATATTTTCAACCGAATTAATTCAAGTGTTATAAAAAAACCTACACTTTTTAAATATCAGAAAATATCAGATTTTTTTTTAAATATATCATATTTCGAAAATATCGAATACATTTAAGTTACATATTATTTTTAATTTTCTAATAATAGAATTTAATAATAAAAAATTGCAAAAATCTTTTATTATTTCTAACACATTTTATTCACGACACATTTATTTATCTATAACACAGAAATCACTTGGAAATTTTCAAAATTACCGATTACTTTCGCAAGAGGATGATAACAAATATGAAATCTGCATGAAATAAGATATATATTTATGAAAACTATACACCAAGAAAATCACCGAATATAAAGTAACAAGAACTGCAAGAAGAAAGAGCAAGTAAAAAACAAAATCGCGTTACCGATTGTCGAAGAATAAACGTCCGTTTAATGGCTTAGCTGTTCACTCGAAGGTATGAAACATCAAAGTTGGACTATTTATACTGTTTTCAAGAATCACTTTATCAAGAATTGCTATGAAAATATGCTAGTAGAGAGGGAGTCGAATCACATTGTAAGAAAAAAGTAGAGGGTGAATAACGCCAGCATGAGCAGGCAGAGCAAGAGAAATGAGCAAGCGAGAATGAGAAAGAAAGGAAAAAAGAATATGATTATCGAATGAACCAATGACGAAAAGTGATAAAGAACCAAGTGATGGTGCCGGGTCGGAGATTAGATGACTTTTTTACCCCTGAGTGATAACCCGTGTTGAACTTCATTACTAACAACGAGTACAGTACATTTGCGAATATTTCTGTTGACGCAAAACATTACATGATAAGAGGGTTCCGTTCGATCCTAAAGCCAAAATCTCGTAATTATCACAGTCTAGAATAAACAATCTTACGTAATAATCGAGCACCTATTTAAGAAACCGAAAAAGAGATGAATGTCTGTTCTTATTAATGTAAATCATCTGAATGATGATATTATTTGAGCAGAATTATTTTTAATTTTTGATTTTATGATTTCTTAACTTGATGAAAAGAAATCTCTAAATTTAATTTTTTTATTATTTTGTAAAATGTCAATAAAGTTTAATTATTAATTTTCCTACATAATAAAAACGAATGTGGTTTATATAAATCAAAACTTATGAAAAGAAGAGCATAAAAATCACCGCACAAGATAAGGTTTGTGATATTTAATTATCATTACATTAATAAAACATTAGACGTTTCGGCCACAATCTGGCCATCTTCAGTAAATTTACAATATTCTTAAAACGCAGAATTACATATATCTGACATTAAATTCAACCGTCGTGTAACTATGTATAAACATGTTCTTTCATCTTGTGAAGGTGCATCGTACAACAATGTTGCAGCGCCAATTATCATATTGAACAAGAACAAGAATTTCCAGATTCTAATTTAAAAAATTTTTTAACCTATCATTAATATCTTCTAGTCGAAATGTATGAGAATAGAATCGTTACCTTAAGGTTTAAGCAAAAGAATGATGAATCTTAAGTATATCCTTTACACAGATGGAAATTTGTCGTGACATTGTGTGTTATTATTTGTCATATCATATATGTTACCAGTATTTATATATATGTGTCAAAAGTTTAATGTCTTTTCTAAAGAAAAATCTCTCTCACATTTAATAAATATTATAATTCTAGAACAATCTAAACTTTTGACACATATATATAAATACTGGTAACATATACGATATGACAAATTTCCAACTGTGGATGGATATATAAAGGACTGAAAATTCATCATTTTTTTGCTGTAAAACAGGTAACGATTCTATTCTCATACATTTCGACTAGAAGATATTAATGATAGGTTAAAAAATTTTTTTAATTAGAATCTGGAAATTGTTGTTCTGCATAATTCGCAATATGACAATTGGCGCTGCAACATTGTTGTACGATGCACCTTCACAAGATGAAAGAACATGTTTATACATAGTTATATTACACGACGATTGAATTTAATGTCAGATATATGTAATTCTGCGTTTTAAGAATATTGTAAATTTGCTGAAGATGACCAGATTGTGGCCGAAACGTCTAATGTTTTATTAATGTAATGATAATTAAATATCACAAACAATATTTTGCGCGGTGGTTTTTATGCTCTTCTTTTCATAAACTTTCCGTCCATAATATGACAGTATAATCCTGTATCTGAGAGAGATGCATCACAAAAATATTTTTACGTCAATTAAAATTATTTATATCAGTACTTTTATATTTTTAAAGAAATTACACGCAAAATGAAGTCACTGCAATGATGTTTAATTTTAGCATCGAATTTACGTATTCTCTCTTAAAAATATATTATAAATACTTGGGTATAATGTAAAATTAATCGATTTGCACAATGTTTTTTTGCAATTTTTTCCCATCTTTTTTCTCTCTTTCTCTTCTTACTGTTTCTACATGATTGTATTCGTATCAAGTAGAAAAACACGTTATTCACAATCACAGTTCTTTGTCATTTTCCATCGAAATTTTGATGTGATTTCTAATAAGACCTAAGTTTTAGCATATTCTATCAGCGGTATAATACTAAGAATAAATCAGTGCGATAAAATCATTAAGTAGATACTCGAAATGTTGATTTGTGCCCCTTCTATTCTAGAAAAAAGGCGTTATTAAATTTTACAATGTCCGTCTTGAAGGCTGAACATTAAAGCGGAACATTGCATCGTACAACAATCAGTTGGATATAAAGATTGTCCTAGAAGTGAACTCTTGTCCAATTCAGCGTGAAGCATGATTATTCTTTGTATGAATGTGTGATGTGACGCTTCCTATTATATTGATATAACTATTGTGTCGAAAAATTGTCTGTTTATCTCGCAATTATCACGTGTCTCTTACATGCGAGGTAAAGTTCACATATATATGATATGAACTCTGACGTCTCGAAGCAAAACGAAGTGTTTGCTTTGACGTAATTATCGACTTGCTCTTTAGAATTCACTTTTGTGTGCTCTTGTATAAAAAAGTTCTAGTATGTTTATTATCAATTCACGAAAAAATATATGCGGATCATATCGCCTGTAATTATGATTAATAGTTTACAATATCGCATTCTTTAAAATATTGTTTAAAAGGTCAATACAATTTCATACACGATGAGCACATAGCATTTCCGATATAAATTATTGCGATTCCAAAATTATTTTTTTAAAATTGCAGCGCAAAAATCGAAATTACTTGGAAATTACTTGGAAATAGTAGCGCATAAATCGCAGATGTATTTTACAGTTAGTTAGATAGCGTAATTTTGCAATTTTAAACGACTTAGGGATGAATATGACTCTTTGCTCCAAGAGGGAAATGCCTTAAGGGATGCAAAACAAAAATTGAAACTAAATGAAACCTAACTTTGAAAATTACTTAACTTTGAAAGTAGCTTTGAAAATTTATTTATAATTTATATTGTAGTGATATATCAACGCTTTTAATAAAATGAAATATTTGGTGATATGATTTGATGATTAAATATGTGATAATATTCTTATAAAGAAAGTTTTTTGCCAATTTATTAAGTAAAAGATTTAATTATTATATTTTATTAGTTAGAGAAGAGAGAGAGAGAGAGAAAGAGAGAGAGAGAATTATAAAAAATTTTGTTAATGAGCAAAATATAGAAGAACAACATTCAATTATCTTTATATATATTTAACAACATTAGATCTGTCTTTCAAAGATGTAAGTAGTTCATTAGGGCAGTAATAATATATACGTGACTTTTCTAGATATATATATATATATATATATATATAAAAGTTTACAAATAAGGATTATGATTGTCAATATTTACGTATTATTTATTTTATTTCATTTGCTATCACATTTATAGGAAATAAAAATAAGATTTTAATATGTGTATTTATAACATGAATGTAGATTAATTAAGTATAGATTCTACATTTTGATTATCTTATCTCAATTATTCTTTCTAATAGCTTTTTTAAAAAATAAAATAAAAATAAAAGATACATGACAAGGGCAATAAATTTGGATCAAACGCAATATGCCAACATTCTTCTAATACACCAACGGACAGAAAAGATTTGATATTTGCATTTTGTATAACGTATTTGCCTGATTAAAAAAAAAATGACTTCTGTTTGTCCAATCAGAAAAAAATGTTTCATTTCAACTATGTGACTCTACCATGTAATTTTCATCAAGCAATCAAAAGTTAATCCTGACAAATTAGAAGGAACATTTCGTAACATGTGAAGTATATTACGTCGTAGACATCATATATGTATATAATTGTAATTGTATAGTATATATAGTATATATAATATACAGTTTGTATTGAGCATCAACTGAATTACAAAAACTAATGATTACTATTCTAAGTTTGATTTTAAGCAGCGACATGCATAATTCAATTTTCTTTTTTAATCGATCATACCGAGTGATAATATATGTTGCTCCGTTTGTGGAATCTTGATCAATTTTTCCTTAATTGTTCGCCGAAATTTGTTA